TGAGAGAAAAGATTAAACTTTTAATAAAAAAGCAAATAAATGTAAATATATCCTATTACATAGGATAATGTCAATTAAAAACAGAGAGTAGAAACATCTATTTTAAGAAAATAAAATTTGTATAGTAACTTACGCTCCAAAATGTTTTCATTAATATTTCACATAAGTAAAATAAATGCACAGGGGATTTTAAATATTTTTATTAAATTCTGTATAACTAAATATGAAATCACTCAGAAATTGCACACAACTGAAAATACAACTGTCAGCATGGTACATGAAACTATTTCATAACAATTACATTTGCTTCTTTACCTTTCAACAGTTTCTCACTATTTATTCTAGCAAATCTTTATAATGATAAAATAATTGTCATGTTAAACAATATAAAAATAAGTTGCTTACAATTCGATACTTCTTAAAAAATTTCCTCTTCAAAAATCACCTTACAGCTTGGTATCAACGATTTCAGAAATAAACTAGCAATGTCGTCCTTGTGGAAAAAATAAAGCAACGTGGCTTAATATTCTAACATAAGTGGACACGCGACAAACGCAGAGACCTGCACTTGAATTCCTGCTTTAAAAACAAAGTATTCAAAATTTTTCAAACAAGTTCATCATTTTTCCTCAAATAAGGGGAAAAAATAAGCACATTAAAGAATCATAATGTTGATTTAATATGCTTCGGAAAAAAAGATAACTGTATTTTATCTTTGAAGGTGGTTTTCAAACCACCTACTCATCCAATTCAAAATGTGAAGGTGATGCCTGTAGGTAGACTTTACATGTTTGCTGTGGTATGGCACACACATGCGCGCGCACACACACACGCACACACTCACACACACACTCACACACGCACACACTCACACACTTGTGCAGCAGAGAGAGGGAGAACATAAGAAAACCCCAGGGTAAGTCTGTCGGCCACAGCATTCACCCGGGGAAAGCCCACAGACCTTAGTGAAAACTTAAAAACGGACTCATGACAAGGATTAAAGGTATATAAGGATAAAAATTAGGTGTGACTAATATCTAAACTGTTCTTAAAGTTCAGTCAAGCTAAACATTCACACGTTCTAAGACGTCCAAGGGTTGCTACTACTGTCCGCTCCTCTAGACACAAAAGCATCAGTGAGTGGACCCAGAATACCCAAGATAACTTATTCTCAGATCATGAATTATGAATTATTCTCATATATCAAAAATATGTCCCTTAAGACGTTATATTTATAGTTTCAATATAGAAATAATTTAAATGAAATAAAATAAAAATAAATTTTGTGGTAACTTTAAATGTATACACCAGAAATGATCAATTGTTATATGAACATTTTATATATAAAGTGTTAAACCAAGCTACAAAATAGCATCTTACTGTAAGACAACTCTTTAAGATAATAAACCAAAAAGTAGTATCATTTCATATAGACAAGCAACCTAATTCCTTACCAATCATATTACTTTACATGAAAGGGTATTCACATGCATGAGTACACACACCACATACTAAATTTTTTCAAGTCATTCTGCCTTCACTCAAACAAATCAAATGTTGAAAAATTTAAAATCGCTTTTTTTTAAGTATCAGCAGCAATGTTAAGTTACAGCTGGTTTTCTACTGCAACATAGCTACAGTGCGACAACACTGCCACCTAGTGTTCACACCAAACAAGACAGTCAGCACAGCTGTCCTAAGAACACTACCTGTGTATCAGGTCATTTTAAATTGTGCACAGTTGACAGACGAATAAAAAGAGAAAGGAAAACAGAACAGGGCGTTGAGAGTCATTGCTGACCAATGCGAGAGGAATGTGAGACAACCTCCTTTGGGCTGTGATTCCCACCTGCCAGATTTTTAAATATAGCACATTTTTTTTTCTTTTCTTTTCTTGGATAATCTACTGACTAAGAAGCAAAGGTCAAATCCTAAGTGAAGGTATATCTATCCCATGCTCTCTTCCATCCTTTATATCCTAATATTTGCAATGACCAAGTTCCTAAAAGAGTTTATAAGCAACCATGTGCACATTCAATTATATGCTTTAAATATTTGAAACAATGTAAATACCAAGCGTTAATGAGAAGATATAACAAGATGGTTAACTACTTTTACTGCTAAGAATAAAAGAATTTTACTTCTTGTTAAATAAAGACAGACCTTGGGCCAAGCTGTTTCTAATTGTATTAGTCCCAGTAACATGCACACAAAGACTGGTGTGCACTGTTTAGCACAGTCAAAACCCAGAAAAGTTGATAAATCTCTATATCAGAAACCTCCAACTGTAACTGTTTTATTTTTCCTTAGACAGTAAAATTCTTGAAGAGTCTATTTCTAAACAAGTAAGGTGCCCCAGCAACTTGAGGCACAGTCTATGAGGTATGCAGTGTGGGAGACGGGGTGGCACTGTGAACAGCAGCACCAGTGTTACAGGGATGTGGGAGGCGGGGTGGCACTGTGAACACCGCACCAGGGTTACAGGGATGGCCACAGTGAACACTGCTATTAGGACACGGCCACACCCACTGCCAATCAGGCTTCTAGAACAAGTGACACTGTTTAGTTTTGATGAGTTCCATAACTTCGTCCCTACTGTTTAGTTTTGATGAGTTCCATAACTTCGTCCCTACTGTCCCCTCTTTCTACATCTCTAGGCTGTACCCATTCCAAATCTCAACTGATTTCATTCCTTTTCCTTTGTGCACAATGACTATTGTTTAAGTAAATGAGACACACTGACAACAACAAGAACAACAACAACAACCTGGCTCCCCTTTCCAGGCCTGCTCCACTCTGCACGCAGCTCCACGTCTTTCCCGCAGCCTGCCCAGGGCAGAAGTAATCGTTTGCTGCTTTAAGCCTCTCAAAAGCAGAGCCAAGTACTCACAGCCTTTTAATACTATTTTATGCATCCCCAAGAAAAAAGTTGCAAATCCCCCAAATCTTTTAAAATTCACCCTTAATTATCCTTATTCACTTTTCAAAAGGTAATTTGGGGACATCTAAGAATTATAATCACACACACACCATCATGAGTCATCTTTCTCAAAATGCAACAGCTCATTTCAGTCACTGTAGCACCTTGTGTGTTGTATGCAGACAGTCACCAGCAGTAAGAAAGACTGGGCATGTGTGACACCAGGACACGTGTGACACTAGGACATGTGTGGTACTAGGACATGTGTGGCACCAGGACATGTGTGGTACCAGGACATGTGTGGCACCAGGACATGTGTGGTACAGGACATGTGTGGCACCAGGACATGTGTGGCACCAGGACATGTGTGGTACCAGGACATGTGTGGTAATAGGACATGTGTGGCACCAGGACATGTGTGGTACTAGGACATGTGTGGTACTAGGACACGTGTGGTACTAGGACATGTGTGGCGGGCACTAGGACATGTGTGGTACTAG